TCATGCTTTTACCAACCACTGAAGCTGTTTACTCAGAACAGATCTCACTATAAAATCACAAGTTACGTGTTAAAAACATTCAGGATCAGAAATCTACATCTGTTCATATCATAAAATGTGACCGATAACCATTAACCATACTAAACATGCGGTCCTTTAGACCTTTTGTATTTACGGTCCCAACCACAGCAGTGTTTAAGTTTCCAACAACTTCTTTCTCTTAAGTACACAAGACTTTTCTGTCACTTTGGTGTATGTATCTCAGTTGAATCAGAACTGTCAGGTGTTCTTGTCAGGTCACTGTGTTTTTTCTGACACTGAGTGGTGCTCTGAAGTGAGCGTAGAGGATGGAGCGTGTGACCACAACTACCTTGTGAGATCTGTATGCTGGTACATATGTCTCTTTGTGCTTAAGTAAATGGCAAGCTGACTGGGTGGGTCTTCACTGATAATGTGGAGTTTGTAATTATGCTTTGCACAATGACAATATTCAAATAACAGTGAAGTTGAAAACAATCTATTAATGTTTTCACCACATCCTTTGTAGACAGAAAGTAATCAAAAGAAGAAAAAAACAAACACTGCAAGGCATTTCAGACTTAACTCCTCCTACTCATCACTATTTCTGTAGCTCGAATGACCTGAAATTGTGCTGACAACTTACCCAGAAATGGAGTGCACTGGTCTTGTTGAGAAATAAATATAATTTCATAAGAGAATGCAAAATGACACCCTTGTCACAGCTTTTTCATTTTATAAAAACATAAAATATCACAAAGATTTGTAACAAAGATTTGGAATTATATGTTCTAATAATTTATTCTGCTTGCTCCTCCAGTCTGAGCCAACCCTTAGCTTACTACCTATTTGTGCAAAGCAATGACAATGACACCCAATTACTTCATTTCACCCCCCCCCTCTTAAGTAAATGCTTTTTCGTTCTCTTATATCTGGACTTTATAGCAGCAGCTGTAAAAATATTACCCCATTGGAAACCAGGGCATGGGTGAACTGCTGCATCATTTTCATTCACTAAATACACAAGTGTGTTCTGCTTTTTTTAGTCAGTATTATCAGTCTTTATAGTTCCTTGAAACAAGTCTCTACATCTTGTATTTACAAAACGGATAAATCTTGAGTTGCATCCACACAGGAATTTTTCCATGCCTTTGTCACTGATTGTTGCTAGCAGACATTCCAGATTACCGTTACCTAAGTAATCCTGTAAATTATTTACTATCCTATCATATGTCATTAAATGACTTTCTCAGATTTCATTGTTAACCTCTTGTCACGAACCCAGAGGGTTCGTATGAAAGGCAGACCCAAAAACCCTGATTTTTACACAACAAAACCAGGATTATCTGTAAACATATGTGAGAAACACCAGTGGAGAGGGGAGAGAAGTGGGATCTCTGATAAGCAGTTTTCAAACAGAGGAGATTGTGGTTACTGACTAAAATAGTAGAGGAAGGGCTCTATAGGTGAGTATGGGGCTGAGGAATGTTTGCTTACTTGCAGGTTGCACCCGAGACCCTTTGGGAAGGCTAACCGAGGGAGTGTCTATGCAGGGAGCGAGCACTGGAGGTAGCAGGGAATCCATATCTCGGTTCTGGAGGAGTTCCGGTGGCGCACAGTGGAGACAAAGGCAGGCATAGGTAGTATTGCAGGTGAAACCAGCGGCTGAGTGCAAAAGCAGCAGTAGACGGATCTTGGAGTGACTGAGACACAAGGAAACAAGTTTTTACACAGGGAATAAATCACAAAAGCAAAATTATTAGAAGACCTAGTTACCACTGAGAGTTGGCAGACAAACTGGCGGAAACTACAGGAAGCTAGCGAGTGCTGGCTTTAAGAACACTCCTGCTGATTAGCCTTGGACTGGAACTCTGGTGAGGCACTTTGCTCAAGAAGATGAACACAGGAAGCTCATCGCCTCCAGCTGGAAAATCCCAGACGTCCCATGGACCAAGACACTTCTTCAGTCACTGGACTTAAATTTGAGAGATGATGAACTCATTGTCAGTTCTATGACACTCGCCACATCAGTGCTAGCTGCTTCCTGTGTAGATGCTCCTTTGTAACCAAAATCTGAGTAATTGCTACTAATACTGTATAGCTTTGAGCTGTGTTGCATGTATATTTATTATAAAAGTCTGAACATAAAAAACTATAAACTGCAACTTCACTGGATTGTGGAGACATAAAATTTAAGACTATATCTAAAAGATGCACTGAGAAAATATGGTAATTATGGCCATTGATTGCCAATGGTTGTGTAAAAAATGCATTGACAGTGCATGCCAGTGTCTTTTAGATAAGGCAGTGCATGGAAACCCAGGTAAATATAAAGCAGAACTTTCTAAGATGTCTTTACACTTGTTGATGTTATCTAATCTAACCCGTGACCTAACCTAGTTTTACTGGCTAAATCGAGTCATTCAGGAAGTGAAAACGAAAGCAATCAGTGAGTGAAAAAATAGCTCAAAGATGTTCCAAGATAGGACTTAAACCCACAAACATAACTCCATTTTAAGATAATTATTATTATCAATGTTATTATTTTTAAGTTGAAAGAATCTAATGATTTCAAAAAAACTGGAATGATTTGTCAATCATAGAACAAATAACCAATGAAATCGTTTAGTTGAAAAACTTGCTGAAAGATGATGATAAAAGCAGATTTTTTTTTAGCAAAGGTGAAAAACTTCAAGATGAGCATTAGAAAAATGATTTAAATTGAAAAAAAAAAGTGAGCGACTGGATAAAGAAGAAGCGACATACTCCTCAAAGACCTGGAAGGGACCAGTGTGACAGGAAGTGCACTTCGTAACCAATCAGGTCCATTTGACAGTGTGACATAGAAGTCCCATGTCATGATACCTCCTACAGTCAGTGAAAAACCTACAATGTATATAAGAAAAGACATTCGCAAGATGATCGTGTTATGGGTTACACTGCTTGTTCTTCACCGAGGATGTAAGTATCTCCTTATTCTGTGTAGGTTTTCTCCTGTGTTTGTTGTTTGCGTGGTGGTTTTCCTTGCGACTTACTCCTTTATATTTGTGCATGTGTACATGTTTTCTATGAAATTAGATACACTTGTTCCAGTAACTTCAGTTCAACTTGGGGAAACTGTAACCATCCCATGTCAACTGCCTGTGATTGAGACCATTCGTACAGAAGTCCACTGGTACAAGCAGAGTGCCGGGGACACTCTGAAAGTAATTTGGACATTGAGGGAATCTGCAACAGCTGAGTTTGCGCCTGAGTTTAATAACTCCAGATTGAAGGTAAATCATAATAAACACTTTACCAACCTGACCATTTTGAAGACAAATCAAGAGGACGAGGGAATCTATCACTGTGGATTCACAGAATGGCGTAAGAATATTGAATGGACCGGGACGTATTTGTTAGTAAAAGGTAATTATGTGCTCTATTTTCATGGGGTTTGCTTCAGTCGGCTTATTAATTGTCAAAAGCATGATCAGAAAACAGTTAATATACTCATACAAATTTATTTTAATTCATTTTAAAGACATTTTATAGACACAGTACATCAATCCTTCACTTTGTGCTTTGTTAACACATTTTTATTAATCAGGAAACACCCAGAGAATGTCAAACTACACTTTTGTTAAGGAGAAAGTCCATCCAGGAGACTCTGTGACTCTTCAGTGTTCAGTCCTCTCCAGCTCTAACAGAAAGACATGTCCAGGAGGTCACAGTGTGTTCTGGTTCAGGGAAGCAAATACATCTCATCCTAGCATCATCTACACCGATGGAAACAGACATCATGAATGTGAGAAAAGATCTGAGACTGAGCAGAGTTGTGTTTATCACTTCTCTAAGAACGTCAGCTCCTCTGATTCTGGGACTTACTACTGTGCTGTGGCCACATGTGGAGAAATGTTATTTGGAAATGCAACTAAACAACAAATGGGTATGATTTAAAATATATATTATGTTAAAAATATTATGTCAGTGTGTTTGAGAAACTTTCTTTTCTTGTTTTTGTAGAGCAAGCAGCAGGTTTGGAGTTCATTGCTCTGATGATAGCAATAATCTGCTTGATAATTTCTGTGATTCTCAACATTATTTTCATCTGCTGCCGAACTCCAAGAGCAGCATGTAAACAATTTCAAAGTAAGTGTTGTTCACTAAAGTAATAATTATAATAACACTTTAGTTTTCCTCACGTTCAAAACATGTTTGCAGAAAGAATTTTATTAATTTGTGTAAAATCAAGTATGTTCGTCTTGATTGTGCTTGCTCCTTGCAAAACTCACTACATTTGACCATGTGTTGTGTATACATCAAACTTACATTTTCCCCAAATTAAACAGATCTTTGCAGGTTATATTTTAATTCATCAATCTAAAATCAAACATTTTTGTTTAAATATTTAAATTCTTAATATTAGTTGCTTAAGTATATATACATCTCTTATTGACCTTGTCCACGTCACTGCCAACAGTTTGACTGCTGGTTAAAACATTAATAAAATTGAAAAAAACAGATAATAATAACAATCCTCTTTTATTATGCACAGAAAAAAGCTCTTCACAGGAAAGACAAGATGACTTGAGGCAAACAGTGGACAGTAGTGTAAGTAATAAGACATATTGTTAATTGATTTAA